ACAGTGCACAGAGGATGCAGCCTCTGAGGACCACCACAGGCAAATGACAACAGGCTTTGCATCCGGCATGTTGCATTACAAAATTAATGCTGTATTAGAAAAATCTCACCTCCCGGGGTTGGTGTTCTAGCTGGTAAGCACCTGAGGGGTCAGGGGTCAGCCACACTGAGGGCACAGCTCAGTCTGGATCAGGACACCCAATGCCTTCACCTGCCATTGGCTGATGCATTCGGTAGCCTCAACAGAACATTCGCTGAGAATAAACACTACATTCTGGCTTCCTGAGCAGGACAGTCTGGGGAATGTAGCAGAGGACAGAGCATCAAAGGCCGGATTTTCCCTCAAGCAAAAAGAAATCCACAATACCACAGTTTTCTCTTACTGCTTAAAAGGTAAACTTCAGATCAGCTTGAACCCCATCAAGACAGGATTTGTACTTCCATACACACACAGGTTCTGAAGAACTTTGCTATCTAGTTGTGTCTTCTCTGTTTCGTTAAACATCCCCCGCCCCGGTTACCTTCCCTGGATTCCTAAGTGTTCGTCTCACCACCGTGCTGGGTCTTGCTGGTTACGAATCTCACATTCCACCCATAGTAATAAGGGACCGGAGGACACCTAAAGTATCCCAAATGTTGGCAGCCCGAAGACCGTGAATGTAACGGCAACGATTACAATGTTTAAGGGAGTGAGGGTCAGTCACAAGAACACCTAGGGTGACCCCCTCCTCCCCGTGTGGCCTCCTGGTTTGGAATGTTAAGTCCTGCAGCCAGGGAATGCCTCAGTCCCAAGCCCCCTGGGGGCTGTTGGGTCACCCTGAGCACACCACTCACTCTTCCCTTAGGATCACTAGGGAAAAGATAAGAATTTTCAAGAGCAGAAAGCTACCTATGAGGGCATCAGCTCAAAAAAAATTTTGAGGACACTTGCTAATGGCTAGCTCCTAGGAAGTCCACACATACCTTATTTAATGGTGTCGATTTTAATAGTCGTTAGTACCCTAAGCAAATTGGTGATCAGTGTATATAAAAGATCATTCTTGAAACCTGTTTTCAGACAAGTCCTCTAAAGGGCCTTCTGGTTTTGTCCAGTTATACAGTATTTCACTGAATCTTTTTTGAGATTTTTCAGAGCTAAATGAATTTTTTTAAGATTTTATTTAATTGAGAGAGAATGAGAGAGAGTGTGAGCATGAGAGGGAGGAGGCTCAGAGGGAGCAGCAGACTCCCCACCAGGCAGGGAGCCCAATGAGGGGTTCGATCCTGGGACTCCAGGATCATGACCTGAGCCGAAGGCAGTTGCTTAACCAACTGGGCCACCCAGGTGCCCAATAATGCAGTTTTATATGTCTTTTCATCTTCTTTTTTAGGTGAAAACACTCTCTGCCAAGTATTTCCCACATTCTTGCTTCATATATTGAAGAGATTGCCAACCGGAGATACTCCCCTCAGATTACAAAGGCCCTGAATCATTACTTCTAACAGCATTCTGCCAGAAGGTCTGGCCTTGGGAAGAGATGGCAGAGTATTCTCAGATATGAACATTTTTATTTTGCCTACAACGCTGTGATCTAGTTCAGCACTGCTTTCATCTTACTCTGTAGTTCTGCTTGTTTTGCCCTCTGGTATAAAAACAAAAACGGTTAGTGTCACAGCTTCACTATCACTAATAAAAAGATACAAATGTTTATGCCTTAATGGTCAGGGTCAGAAAAGCAAAAATGAAGCCTGAGGTAAAGGTGGTCTAAAAAGGGACCAATTTGGGCTCTGCATTTTGCCAAGAAATAGGATTTGGGGGAAAAAAAAATCATACCCATGCAGGTTACCTACTTGCTACATGTGATTATTTCCCCCAATTTTCATCAATCTGTATGTTTATTAGTTACACGAACCAACAAATGACTACATTCTTAAAGCTGGTACATATATTCACCGGAAAAGCTCCCTACTCTTATTCACCAATGTATTTTTTTGTTTGAACAATCCAAGAATGTGAATAATGAGATTGACAAACATACTTCTCAAGGGACTTATGAAAAAAGGAAAATCTCTTTGGGAGAAGAGACTTTAGTAAGACTTCTATCCCTACAGACAGATGCTAAGAATCAACTTTCTGCTACGGCATTGTAAAGGGTAGAACTTAATATAGAACCAGAAATATGGCAAGTTATTTAGTGACTAACAGTGTAAAATAGCCAAAAGCTTTAAAGCCACAGAGAGAAAGAAAAGTGGAGTGTGAGATAGAAAATACATAATGAAGTATTTTTAGAATTCTAAAACTTCACTTTCATCCTTTTATCAATATATTATGGATTTTATGGTTCAATAAATTATCATCCTTAATTAGAAATTGAAAGTAAATGCCTAACCCCTCACCCAAAAGAGCAAACTGAAAATTCCAGAGAAACTAAGAGCTTTTTTTTTTTTCTCTCTTTTTTTGGAGGGTAGGAGAACATCACTTTCCAGGAACTGTTCCGAAGAGAAATCTAAAAGTCCTTTGTCTAGCATGCATGGATCCTTCTCACTGCCATCAGCAGCGGCATTCTTCTTCCAAGGGCCCTTATATTTCAACCAGTGGCTGAAATTTGGGGTCTACTATGGATCTCACAGCAGGAAACCAATCAATACTGAAGTTAACTTGGGCTAACACACTCTGGTCAGATCCTCTGTGAATCAGAGATGACCCAAAGAACTTTGGGAAATCCATTTCTGTTGAGCACAACCAAGAAAGTTAGGTCTGAACCACCTTCGGCTGCCCATAACTACATGAGAACTTGACTTGGTGGTGCTACTTCCCACGGTATCTTAAGCAGCTTTAACCAAGAGGAAAAGAATGGGGAGAGGCAATCTAACATTGAAAAAAAAAATCCTAAACTAGTACCTTCCAGAGACCATTGGCTAGATAATGATTTAATGAATGGGTGTCTACTGCAGTTCTGATGTTCATGAGTTCATGATTCTTAGTTATCAAGCTGTCTAAAAATGGCATTCTAACTGAACCACCAAATCACGACTCTGGCTGAATAAATAAATTACTCTGAAGATCTGAAAGGAAAATGTCTGTAAGCCAATTAGGGAACTTTTACTGAGATCTGAGATTTAAACAACAGATTCATTCAACGGTGTTAAAATGTGAGCAGATAAATGACCCCCACTGTTCAGGTATCTCGAGGAGTGTGTATATATACATAAATCCATACATACACGTTATATAATTTATTTCCTACTAAAAAGATTTAAGGCAGTTATGCTATATATAAAGTTACCTAAAATATCCAAGAAAAAACAGTTCCTACTCAAGAAATTACATGAACACATTAGACAAGTTCTTATCATAAAGGCTATTATGAAGCTGTCTACATCTAGCATAGCTGACATTTCCTGGTTGAGGCTCCAAACACAGGAATTCCACTCCAAGAGATGATTTGTCCTGTAGTCCCCACTCATAAAAGGTAGTCTGAACAGATAAAATGTTTGTGAGAACTTGAAGATATTAAAGGAACTCAACAGTAGGGTCTGACTACCTCTAGAGACCATAAACCACCATCGTTACTCCTGACTGCTGTACTCAATACAACAATCCAATATGCTCCGCGGTGGAAATGGGCTAGTATTACAGGAAAATCACTGGCTGCAACTGCTGGAAAAATTCCTAATTCTAAATATAACTTGAAATAGAATTCATGCTATTTGTTCGTCACAAAGACATTTAACTGGAGAGAAGTTCTGAGCCATTTGTAAGATGTGAAGTGACGGACCAAGTAGGAACAACATGAGCCTTCCCGGTGAAGAAATTAGGACCCTGGGTAGGAAAAGCACCATCCTTTTTGGTCTTCCGTAAAGTTCAATGGAGGGAAACATTCTGATGTCTGCAGATAAAACATGGTTGGCAAGGAAGTGGGCGACCAGCAAGACCACAAGAGGTACATTCTGTTGGGGGCTGGTGGGGAGAATACAATTCAGTTGATGAGTATCAAGAATTTAGCAAAGCTCATGAAGCAAAGGAGCTGGGGGATAATTTGCCATGTCGCAACATTGATGAGTTAGATCAAAGTAAGAGAAAAGATCACGTGTTGCTTATGGCCACAGACTACTTAGTTATCTCAAGAGATACAGGGGAGATGGTGTGGAAGGGCACAGTCTGTGTAGTTCTAATATGCAGCTACTAAAGTAACTGAACATAAAGACAGATTTTGAGTAAGGTGAACATCTTCTGTGTTACTTTATCATTCACCATCAACCAGACCAGTTGAGTACTGAGTTCTGAATAAATGCTCCAAGTGTTTAATTATTAAAAAACAAAAAAAGGAAAGACAGAAAGATCTTAAAGGTATATTTGGACAGCTTTTGGAAGAGGTAGAGAAACCAACTGGGCACGTATAATCTTTTACTTGATTTCAATTAGCAAGAGACCAGACTGATTGTTTTTCACCTTCAAAGTCTTAGTCTTGACTGAAACCGACCTAAAAGGCACAAACAAATTGAAATTAAAATAATTTTGACAAAGGAGAAAATTCGTTAAGTTTAAAGGCAGATGAATCAAGCAAAACAGATATGGTTTAAGGTTAAGAAAAATGCTAGATATTAAATAATTTGCAATTATGTAATTAGAATACAGAATAAGAGTACTGAATAAGAATATTTAGCTTTCAAGAAAAATTAGGGAGATTTCCTTCTGGCAAAGTGGCAGGTCCTGAGAGAGGTGTAAACCCACAGTTTGAGGGCCAGGACTAAATCCTAGCCTCTTTTTATTACTCAGCATCTAGCACCGTGGCTGGGTAAAGGGCAGACATCAATAAATGTTGACTGAATGAATGGCTGACATAATGTATAATTAGTGTAACTGGTGTAGTTTGAACCTCATTAGGAAGGTTCCCTGAAGTAGGAGAAAAGAACACAAGCAGACTTGTTTCCAAAGGTGGGCCGAAGTCCACTCATGTGTTTTAATCCTAAACAGTGCTTACACAAACTTTTCAAAGTTTTTTTTTTTTTTTTTTTTTAAAGCTGTAAAACTCTTTTTTAAAAAGAAATCTATATAGAACTCCATTACAGGATGGAAACAAAGCTGCCACTGGTTAAACCAAAGTCAATGGGGATGTCACCAGCCTCCAATTCCCTACGGTGGCTCTGGCTGGACTTGACTGTAAATCACCATCCATCTTAGGAATGTGATGGAAAACGCGTTCACTCAGTTCTCACGTGAGACCAAGAAAGTTATCAGCCCTGTGGAGGGGCAGTTCTAAATAATGTTGCTCATTTAAACAGGGACAAAATTCAACATTGAGAACTTATCATTCAGAAGAATGAAAACAACCCCAATAAAGGGGGGGGGGGGAAATTCAACAAGATTTAAGCCACAGTAGACAAAACAGAATTCAAGAAATAGCATCTTCTAAAAAGGCATGTAAGATTACTGAACACGAGTGGAGTCAACGGCTCGATGGGTGTTGGGCGCTCAGTGTAACAGGCATCGCCAAAGAGCCGAGTCCCAGTTGAATATTCTAAGGAAGAGCCCCAACACAGCTGGAGATAGAATCACAGTTGGAATGCTGTCACTGGAACGGCTTCACGGAACACCTCCATCCAAGACTCATCGCCAGGCCCTTTTGCCTCTTTCAAACCTGTTCTCTGCCCCCAGAACTGTTCCCTGACATCACCACAAGCTCTCAAGGAAGCTAAAACCTTCCAAAGGTCAGAGGCTGCACTGGCTCTCTCCAGCCGGCCTGACAGTGGTCATACCTGGGACAAGGGAAGCCGTCTATCAAGTAAGGCCACTATATAAACTATTGTAAATTAAAGAACCCTTCTGGTCCCCAAGTTTGGATCTGTGAAGAGACTTCTGGGCAAGCATTAATACCTAATGATGAGCTGCCTTCACAATGAACCTTGGCATTTGATGCTTCTCCTTGCCAGGAATGCCAGTCTCCTGGGCTCTCCCCATGGCCTGCTCCCTTCTCATGTCAAATGTCAGCTCAAGCACCACTTCCTTAGAAAAGCCTTCCCTGCTATGCTCTACCACAGTCCCCTGTTTACCTCCTTCGTAGACAAATGAGCTAATTAAGGGTTAGAGTAACTGACGTCTCAGCCATGGCCAGGACTGGATCTGATTTGTTCACCTTTACCCAAAGCAAAGAAAGTTCCCGGCACACATAACAGGTGAAGAGGAACTACTTGCTGAAAGAATAAAAAATTACTATACCAAGTCTGCATGAACACATACATGTACACACAAATATAGGAAAATGGGGGAATACCCAGTAGAAAACAATCAAATGCTGAGAGTATTGAAAATGATACCAGTAGAGACAGCTGAATATGGTTTCAAAGAACATGTACCAAAAGTGTCTATCTCCAAAATCTGAAAATTTACTAGCAGGGGGTCAGGAGTGGCAATTTCCCTCTTGTAAAGAGATGCAAACAAGAACTGTTTAAACTGCAGAGTCAACATTCCATCTAAGGATTATTTGCCACTGAACAGATGGACTACCAACGTAGTGCAGCTTCTGGAATCTCCTCTCGCCACACAGCCTAAAATGTCCTTGGTTGTAATACCAACCACACATTTAGGATTAGTTCAGAAGAGCCCAGACTGTAGGTAATTATAAGCTAAAAAACTCGCTAAACTGCTTCTCCCCAATGTTTAAAATTCTGAATTCATAATTATGTAAAATAACAGATTTTTATAAATTTAATACAACATACTTTAAAAAACAGATGGCCCTTATCTGCTGATCATACCTCAGCATCACTTTTGTAGGTATTTTGCAGAAGCAATTACATTTACAAAAGGTCCATTTCATAATACAACCTGGTAACGAACTCAAAAGAAACTCAGAGAGCACTAGGTCTGCTATTGAAATATTTTAAAAGAGCTTTTAAAAAAGAGTGTTTATATCTATAGACTGGCTTTAAAAAAAGGATAAATATACTGAAGTAATTGTAGCATATCCCTGAAAATGATTCTACTGCCATTTGTTCTGATGAGGTGTCAGGATAAATCAACAGACTGCTTGGTTACACGAGTCTATTACTATCCATGGAAATCTGTTTTAAGACAAAGGGACTTAGCCGTATGAACTCGTACTGTGCCCCAGAACTAACTGGTGCTGGCAGTACTGGAGCCACCATTACTAGTGATGGATGTCATGCTACATGGTTTTAGTATCAGGGCAAAAGTGGGAATGGAAGAGAGGTCTGGAAAGATTTTCTGCAGTTTCCGTATAGTGAGATTTAGCAGTAAATAACACAAAATGAATGTTTAATGACCCACTGAACACATTAAGGTCAAGGATTTCAAAAGTTAATCCACTTTTCTTCCCCCAAGGGTTTATTTTTGGTAAAAGGCAGAAAAATTAGTTTTTCTACAAGGGAAATCTGCTTCTAAATGATAATCTGAAAATCTTGATATATATTATATATTAAAAAAGACACACAAAAATAACGGAGAAGTGGGAATAACAGATTAGGTACTGTAACTTTATAAAGGCTTGCCTAATTCAAGAAGCAGCACACACACACCTAATTTAAGCAAACTAAACGTGTATATGAACAGCACAGTACTGTGATGCTGGATCATGACACATTACCTGTACACAGAGCTACTACTGGTATTAACAAACCTGTGGGACACTCGGTTTTATGCCCAACGAGACATCAGTTAAGTCTTTAAAATCTTCTCTTTCTCCTATATGGGAGGGTATTTCTAGACACTAATTTTCCCATCTAATATTCGAATATAGGAAACCGATTCCACAAGGTGCTTTAATGGGTGAGACCTCAAGTGCTGTTTTCTCTCTTGAATTTTTGGACAGTGACCAGTCCATGGGGACCACACACAAATACTATGACAGAAGAGTTGGTACATTGAGTCTTTTGATGGGGCTTGAGTGGTGACGAAGCCTTATGACATGCTCGAGCAACGCACTGAAGGGGATCCCATCTGAGTTAATACTTTGTCCAACCACTGTAGAGGTCCATTCAGATGAAGCTCAATCCAGCAAGGAGTGCTCGTTACCGTCTGCCTTCTATTCAAAAGAATACAAGAAAAGAATTACGAAATTAAAAGAACAACATGGCGGTGTTGAGCGACATGCATTAAGAATATAGATAAATTAAAAGGTCGTATATACGAAAACCTACATTCTTTTGAGCAAGTATTAAGTCAGGATAGCTAGTACTTTGAAAACTATTTAATCCTAAAAGTCTAACAAAATACTTCTAATGAGATATATATATATACTTTTTTGCTTCTAAAGAGATTAACAAAAACATTCTTTTCTCCTCAAATTAAAATTAGGAGGGTGACCTATTTACCATCCAAACTGAGACACCTTTAAGAGTGAAGAGTGTCACTAGTAATAATCAGGCCAGGACAAGAGGCGCAAACCAGGACCGTCCCAAGCAAACCAAAGACACAGTCATCCTAACTTATTAATCAACCACAGAGCAGACAATACTCAAATACCAAGTAAAGTCTAAATAAATGGAACAGGGTTGAAATTTCAAGTATACCAAAACAAAACAGGATTCTGACCAAAGCTTCTCACAGAATGTTGAGAACTCTGAACGGAGTTCAGCTTTCCCTGACTAAGCCAATGAGCAACATCCCTGTGAGAAACATCAGGCAGGCTTTTAATAAGAAACACCTCTGGTATTTTGACATAATGGGACTGTGGGAACTACAAATTGTTCAATGACATCCTATCACTTGCATGTACTGATCTGAGTTCTGTCTTATTTATTATATACAATAAATTGGTGAGTCTGCTTGGTTCTTCAGTGTGACAGCCCTTCAAACACGACAAAGGCCATTATCAACTCTTCATCTCCAAGTGACACATGCTCAATAAAATTTAAAACTGTATTTCAGAGGATGTGGTTTCCTATAGCAGATGGTGTCAGTGCCCCACTATACTCTTCGAAGTTTCCAGTGTTCTCTAGCCAACTTCCAACGGCGTGTATTTGACTTTCTGTGCCTGAGAACGCCTCTGCTCCGGCCACGTGTGCAGCAGACTACAAGTGTTAGGAAATTCACCTCCCCGGGAGCAGCCCTCAACCAATGACATGGAAACTGCCATTTAAATGCCAGTTTCCTTTCCTTCTGGGCGGGAGAATTCTCTATGTTCGTTACTGTTTCCCACATTTTCCTATGGGAATAGCTCTAATGACCCACCCGATTCGGCATATGGCTTAATAATGGTTTTGGCTGCCTTCCCTCCCCTACCTCACTTCCCTACTTCCTCCTTCCTTACCAGTGCTTGCCCCATTTCCTGAATAAACTCCTTGCATTTGAATCTGTGCCTCAGGGTCTGAGACATACACAGAGACATGCTGATATGCGATTGTTCCTAAAACATGACACAGAGAACATAATACCACAGTCTCAAATCTGACCCACACAAACTCACTATCTTATTTTGATTTAATAGCATACTTTGGTTTATGCAGCTTAAAACTGCATTGGCACACTTCACAAGTTAACTCACATTATCCAGGAGGCAGAGGCAAGATTGCCCTTTCTCCATCTTCCCCTCTGTTCTTCCTGTTGTTCCTCAGAGAAAGTTCCCCCTGCCTTCTAGCTCTCCCTCACATCAGGCCTTCTGCGGGCTTTTGCCAAGATTTCTTTTAATTCTGATTCTCCCATTTGCTGAATTCTGCATACTTCTTAGTTTGTTTTCAATCAGATCATTTATTACTAATTAGCTGAACCTTCCGGGATAATTCTTGATCCAGGCCACTGAACGGGGAAGTAGGTTTCAGAAGGCTGTCACTCTTCTTATGTGGCCACAGAAATGCACCCAAGACATTATTTATTCCCTATTTACTCCAATACCAATTCATTTAACTCAGATATTTTTCTCACTTACATACAAATTCTTTGCACATCTGTATTTCCTATTTACTACGCTTTCTGATCGTTATACTGGCAAACACGCTGGTCTTACAGAAAATGAAAAATAAAAATAGTTTTAGAAATCTAGCCATTGGCTCTACCTCCTCAGCTCCAGCGTCATTAAGGACAAAAGGTTCCTGGCAACCCACTAGAGTTCACAGATACAGAAGTACCTGACGTTATTCAGATCTGTAAGTGTCAAAGGCAACTAGTTTATTAACTGAAGTAGATGTGTCTCTAACTCTATACCAATAAAAACATACTGTAGTTACTGCTTCTCATAATTACAGGTTTTAAGTTCTCTCTGGGTTTAAGAATGGCAGAGTCCACAGTGCACAAAGGGCAGCACCTCTCTCTGCCAATTACAACTGTCCTTAGTAGGAGAGCCACAGACAGACATGGAATTCTCCCCACCCTCTGCAGTTCATGTTTAGTTGCACGAAATTTCTACTACCACATCCTGTAATATTCTCATCTCGTGAAGAAAAAAAAAGTGTGACCTAAATGCCTGGTTATCAGATGGTACCATTTGAATCTAATTTTTAGTATCAACTCAAGTCCAAGGCAAAAAGCCTTTAAAGGCATTACATCTCAAAAGGGAAATGATTAAATGAATTATTCTACTAATATAACTGGGACAAAATAATGACAAGTCTTCATTCTAGGATATAAATATGTAAAACAATATATACTTTTATAGAAGTACTCAACCAGAAGACCTCAAGTTTCACCGTCTCAAGAGGCATACAACTCCCAAAATTTGTTGAAGATAGAGAATCAAGTCCAAATGAGATGAAATTTATTTCGAAGGGCCCAAACTGCCAGAGAAAGAGAAATACTACTGCTATGCTGTATTAGTATCTTCAGAGGCAGGCACTCAGAGAGTAGCAGTATGAGCCGGAGAAGGACTAAGTATTTTACTTATAGTTCTAACCTTAAAGATGCTAAGGAATTCTTCCCTTTCTGATGTGGAATCCCATGCATTGTTTAGTTTGGCAAGAACCTAGTCTATCTTATCCCCTGATGACATTAGCTTCTGTATAACTCAATTATGTAATTGTTACTACTATCCTTGGAGAGGGTGTTAAGAGTCAAGGAGAGCTTTCTTCAAGTCCCAACTCTACCACTCACAAAGTGTCCTTGGGCAAATTATCAAATCTTTTCTAAGCTACTTCCAAATAAGTATTAGTCTGAACCATTTAACATACCACACGGAAAACACCTCCCAGGGCCGGCCTGACACGGAACAAGTATGCCCTTCTAGCTAACTCTTAATCTTACATTCAGCTGGTCTCAACTCAGCCGTCCAGCCATACTCCTCTTGACCTTCTGTACTCCAGTCAAACCGAACTGCATGCTAGGGTCAAGACAGTAGTTTCCCAACCTCTCCTGCCTACCTCAAATGTCATGCCTCTTTCAGAACCTAAAGCGGGTGACCCCTCTACCAGAAGCCTTCCCAGAGCCCCAGTGAAAATGTTTCTCCTTGCATGAATAGACAGACGCCTTCAAATACACTCCTTTAATGGCATCTGCCACCCTGCATCACACTTTTGCCAGCATCCAACCAGGTTTTCAATCTGTCTTCTGTAATGCCAGCACGGGCATTTGGAGAACTTGTGAAGGCCCAGACCTCCAAAGCCCTTTTGTTACTTGGCATGTGCTCTGCTGACTGCATAACCTTAAGGAAAATCGATACATGGGAACTCCAGGAGATGCAAAGAACGGAAGAAAGAAGAATTACATTGTGGAAATTTAAGAGCTGAATATGTATTTCATACCGGTATTCCGCTCCCCACCCTTTCACAAAACTCATTCTTATGGTGCACATTCTAGTTAGCTGATACACGGCTTCAAAACCCTGATTAACGGACTGAGCCAGAAGAGCAGCAAATTCCTGGTTGTTGAAGATCTTCAGATTACAGCCTATGATTGAAAAAAGTAAAAACCGTGTAAAACGAGTATCATTGTAAGACAATAATTTCAAAAGGGCTACAGATCTTAAAAAACGAGCATGCAAATTCTCCCCCGAGTCCTAAAATTAACAGTAACTGTGGCAGCTCAGCAAGTTGATGGGACAAGCTGACTGACACTGGCACAGCCATACCTGGTGGGATCTTACACACGGTTGCAGGGTGCCAGCCGTATCTCTGATTACAGTTGGGGCTCTGCACAAAGATTGCACTATCACTTAGGCACTCGGCAAAAACTTCTCCACCGATGTAATATAAGCGCACTCCTCTTCCTAAAACAAAATACATATGGGATTAGTTTTATAACATTTCCTGTTTTCAGCATAACTTTGGAGGAGTCTCTTCTTGGACGAGTATTAAAATGATGGAAGCTATTTTGATAATCCCTTCCACAGCGATGCTTTTCTGAAGCCTAACTTTGAAACATACCACTCTGTATTTTTCCAAGTATTTTTTTTAACATTATCTTACTGACTTCAAAAAATAAGACAATGCTTATCAAAAGTATTGAGGCAATGTAGAAAAGTACATGGCTAATATAATAAAGAATTTCATACAAATTACATATTATTTTAAAATAAGTAAAAGAGTGCTCGCTTCGGCAGCACATATACTAAAATAAGTAAAAGAAATTGAGGTAAGTTTAAAGGAACCAACGCTTTGGATAAATAAGCCTTCACTATAATAAATAGTCTTTCCTTAACAACCACACTAAAGTTAAGAAAAAAGAAAAAAAAAATCAAGACATTAGAGTCATTTGCCCTTTTTAAAATTACATATGAAGCTGACAACCAAATCCCTAGACAGATAAGCAGAATTAGGGAAGGAAAAAATATGCTGGGAGATTTTAACAAGCCAACTGTGAAAGGCAGCAATCCAGACAGTACCGAAGGTTCTCACCCCCAGTGTGTATGTATCTCTATTATTCAGTCAGACATGAATTCAGGTGCTGCTGTTAAGGAGTTTTTCAAATGTAATTAAGATCTCCAATCAGCTGACCTCAAGGAAAGGAGATTCTCTTTTGGTGGGCCTGACTTAATCAGGTGATATCCCTTAGAAAGGACTGGGTTGTCCCTGGTGATAGTGGGTTCAAAATGTGAGAGAGGGTTCAATAGCAGAGATTCTCTGTGCCTCATTGTGAAGACAGAGGGTCCACGGGGAAGGAATGCTGGTGGCCTCTAGCTGCTGAAAGCAACTCCGAGGGGACCATCTGTAGGAAAAGAGGACCTCGCGGATACAACTTCAGGAATGTGGACTCTGCAACAATCATGTGAGCTCAGAAAGGGACCTCAAGCTCCAGACGAGAACACGGCCCAGTCAACACCACGGTCTCCCATTCTGAGACTCGGTGGATACTCCTAACCCTTGCCTGGACTCCTGACCTGCAGCAACTGTGACCTCACAAATGTGTATAGTTTCAGGCTGGTTAGGTGTGTGGTAACGTGTTCTGTGACACAAGAAAACTAACAAAACCACCTACAGGCCAGCTTTAAGACATAAACACAGAACTGACACCCTGCTCTCAGAATGTGGTAAAACCACCAAAGGTGTACCTGACCATCAGGAAAAGATTAAATCCCAAAAGGAGAGATTTCCCAGGCTACAGTCTCTGATCAAAACCACCTGATAAGTTAGAAATCCAAAGTAAAAAGACAATCCAAGAATTAGAGCAATCTAAGACTGTGGAGAGAAGTATATATAGTAGAGAAAACCTTCTGTTATCTGTATGCAGAACCCTAATTAAAACACAGGCAGAAACAGAACTGCTTTAGTTAAGGGTCGGGTATTCGGAAGCCCTCGTTATCCCCAAGACATCTACAATTATACAAAATTTACACACCAAGCAAGACCTCAGAAATTCCACACAGAGCCAAGTCACAGCACAGCGCAGAATCACGCCTGTTCAGTGACCAGCGTTTCTCACAAGAAGTGATGGTTAATTCATCAGAAACAGAAGCAAACCATTGTTAAAAGAAGTTCCTTTAAGGCAATGAGAACTATGTTCAGTTATATTCGTGGCACTCCAACTTTTTTTTTCCTTACCTCACTGCCAAAAAAATACTGGACACCCCATAGAGTCACTATTAATGTGGACTGCCACCTATGGAAACTTACGACGTTCGATATTAAAACGGAGATTCAAAAAAGTGTACTAGTTCATTTAGAAATCTAAATAATAAAGCCATTACGTATTCACATAAATAACATCGTTATGAAAAATAACAATTTCCCCACCCCCCCAAAATTAGTGAGAATAGCAATGCTTCACGTTTTTGTAACTTTCTCTACTGACTGGCTTCCGGAAGAAAGTTGGATTCTCGTCAGATCCTACATGCAGTCACCTGCAAAATCATATGCCTTGTAGTTTCTGGAATACTTCACTGTACATTCACGAGTGAACGAGAGTAAAAAAGGAAAACAGGATCTTAGTAGCATTATGAAAAGAGTTTTGACCTCATAAACGTGCTAAAAGGATATCGGGACTACTACATTTTGAGATCCTCTGAATTATATTTTGAACTAGGTATTAAAGAACAGTTTTTGTTGAAAATCTCTTCCTTCGGGTTAAGGGTGAGCAGATTTAATTACTTAATATATGAATTCCTGAAAGGGGGAATCCTCGGAGACATCAACAAACTGAAAAAAGTCATGATTTGTTAAAATTAAAATTCTGAAATCTGAACATGACAACCTTAGGACTAGCAGAGACTCTGCAACGTAATTTTAATGCCGATTTACTGATGGACTGCCCAGTATCAAGGGTGCCCAACAGAGGAGAAGCCGAAGTCAAGGGCATGCGGGTCGGACACGTCCAGACAAGGCAAGCGGCTGCACACGAGCTCCGGACACGATAAGCCACGCGGTGGCCCCACTATGAGTTCATGGCAGCGGATCCTCACACAAGGGAAAAACACGTACCTATATGTCTTCTTGTCATTTCTACAGTCGCGTTTCGGTTGACGTTGGAGAGCAACCCTAGGCAGAACCTCTCTGAATTGGATGGATCTGTGAAACCGTCGACAGTGAGTGAGGGCTGTGATGCGTGGAAGGTCTCGCCAACCCTCTGGTTTAATTCATAATAGGCTATTGAACACCAAAATGCAGGTTCTGAGTAAGTAACTGGCTGCAAATCTGGGGAAAAAAACCAAACCCATAAAAGCAAGAAATGTTGTGTGAACAGTTCAAGCTAAGAAGAGATCGAGTATCAGCAGCTATCTGCACATGCCCTAGGCCGGCTTCCACTGGCTACCGCTCAGGAAGCTGACTTAACATCTACACCACAAATTCCAGTTTCCATTAGATCATACCAGATTTTCAGTGTCTCAAATTTCCCCCATCTCCTGAAGCCATCTAATCTTCAAACATCTTTCTCGGACTTTATGGTGGGTCATGTTCTACCGGTAGTTTTATTCAAGTTCATGTTTGAATATAAAATCATCGCAGGCAAAGTAAATCAACTTGTATAATAAAACTAATTTTGGGGTAGGATAAAGTGGAATAAAGCTGGAGCAAGGATGGAGTCAAAAGCCACAAGAAGAAAAAATCTATCATAATAACAGGATACAAAATACGACATATTTCTGACATTGTCTATTTTAACAGGAGATCCTCCACGAGTTACCCTAGTTACAAAAAGAGAAAACCCACGCATACACAAGAAACAGAAAGTAATAAAACACAAAAAGCATGCAAGTAAAAACAGAATATGGACTCAAAAGAATTTACATATTTTATGGGAAAACTAGGAACCCATGGATTTAACTTCTATAATTTTAATTAAAAGACATAAGGAGGGGCGCCTGGGTGGCTCAGTCGGTTAAGCATCTGCCTTCTCAGAGGGAAGTCTGCTACTCCCTCTGCCCCTCCCGGCGCTTGTGTATGCGCTCTCTCTCAAATAAATAAAATCTTTAAAAGAAGACACAAGGAATATCATAAAAAAAAAAAAGAAAAATTTTGTAGACTGAATTCCTAATGTGTAGAAACTGAAGAGACATTGGGAAATACCGAGGTAAACTGAAGGCCAAGATTTAACTACACAACGCATGCACACATACCCTCCGTACCCTGTAGACATAGGTTCATGCGTATACATACTTACATACATATATATGGATATACACCTCATATTAATAACTGCTATCACAAAATATATCCGAAAATAAACATACCCATTTAAATCTAGCCATAATAGGTCATTAAACTTTCCATAAAGAATATAATTTCCATCAATAGACTTATTAGGTTTTTATGCTCATATGTGCCAGTAGAAAACAGTTTTAGTCGTATTAAGGCAAATTATCATTTTTAAAAAGCATGAATTGAAATAATCATTTCATTATTCGTTGGGATCCATTTCTCATATACATGAAAAATAATTATCAGAGAAGACATACAATTTACTGACATAGTGTAAAACAGTGTTGGGGGCAGGGGGGTAGTATTTGCAACTTACCCAAACTATGATTAACGGGGGAAAGAGTAGTAGGAGATAGTTCTGCTGGAGATCCTGAAACAAAAGGATTCAATCTTATAATAGATATGCAAGTATTTCTAGAATTTTTGACCAAATAATGAATAAATAAATAAATAAATAAAATTAGGATGCATCTGGTTGTAATTAATGATCATAGATAATACAGATAAGTTTACCCCCCTAAGAATTCAAAATACACAAGTGCTATATGGGAATTTAATTTTGAAGGCTTCAGTATATAAAAGGTACAGAAGAATATAAACAGCCCTGGCTTCTAGCCACCCAGTTCTCCTTCCCAAAGGCACCCAGTGTTGCCAGTTCTTGGGGTACTCTTCCAGAAATACTCTGTGAACCTCACAAGCAAATATATTGTTCTGTACTCCCCACCTTGCTCTTTATATACAAATGGTAACAGTTCTGAACTTTGCTTTTATACTACTTACTGACTGAGGAATGCTGATGTGTCCTTATTACTCTCTCCCTCTCTCTACTAGCCACATAAGCTTATATTATGCTGTATAATGATCCTATATTGGTAGATACTCAGACTATTTGCAATCTTCTGCTTTATGAACCAAGACTGCAATTAGTAAGCTTGCACATTTTGCCTACTTTCAATCATATCGTTCCCTCAGAGAAACCGCCAGGTCCAAGAGCTATACAAGCATGATTTTGATAGATTTTGCCCAAACTGTCGTCTAGAGGGGTTGTACCAGTTTACAGTCCCAGTAGCAAGCGGTGTTATAAGGATGAATGGTGTTAGCTCATGTGTTAGCACTGATCACCGAAAACATGATTTCACAAGTATAGCTTTGATTCGTATTTCGCTTGACACGTATTTCGCTTGACACGAAATACGACGACAATTCGTATTTCGAAATGACACGGAGCAAGCAGTTTTCTTCTTTGTACTGTACTGCCTTTGAGTGAACAGTTTCTTCTTGTGCTCACATTTCTATAATGATGGGGATCACTCCTCTCACTGATTTCTAATAGGTTATTTATGTACTGGGATATTAGTCCTTTTATGTTATGGGTTATAAATATTTGGTCATCTGTCTTATGAGTCTTCATAATTTTGATTAAACAAAATTAAAAAAACCTTTCCTGTGTTTTATCAAAACAGTCATGACAGCTAGATATTCTTGATTTACTCTTAACTTTAAGGAGATACTTACAGTATTTTACCATTAAGTAGGACATGGATTTGGAGATGAGAGATAAAATTTCTTATTTAGCATTTCTGCATCAATAATCTCACCCAGGGGTACCTGGGTGGCTCAGTGGGTTAAGCATCTGCTTTTGGCTGAGGGCATGATCTCAGGGACTTGGGAACGAGACCTGGATTGGACTCCCTGCTCAGGAGAGAGTCTGCTTCTCCCTCTGCCCCTCCCCCTGCTCACGCTCTCTCAAATAAATAAACAAAATCCTAAAAAAAAAAAAAAAAAAAAAGATCTCAAACAGTACTGGTCTACAGATTCACCCTGTAAGTGCAATGTTACATTGCCTGAGGAAGACAATCTAGAAGCTTCATGTCTTTTTTACGTTCTATGATAGCTTAAATGGCACTGTAATAAAGCATTTTTTAATAGTTTGGTGGAATTCCTGTGCAAAATTGTTTGCAGTTAATAATTTTCTAGGGTTTACCCTAGGACATTTCTCTATTTCTTCTATGAAAGTTCATTGTTAAGATAGCTCTATTTTCTGTAGTCAGTTTTGGTAAATTATATTTTCTTAGAAAATTATCCATTTCTTCCAGTTTTAGGTAAGCAGGTTAAACCTAATCAAGAAAATAAGGGGAGGGGGCAGAAATACATAAAATAAGAAGCACCACAAACGCAGACAGAAAAAAATGGAATTATTTAGAGACTACTTCAGCCAATTCCATGTAATTAAATTTTAAGACACATATGTTGTGAATGTTGTTAATTAACGTAATTACAGATACATTTTGTTTTCTAATCATTTATCCTATACATTTTTCAGAAAGTTATATAAAAAAGCATGACCTACAGCTCCCACACCTCAAATATCATAGCAAGCTGTAGGCTAAGACAGGTTGGACCCCTGAGCCCCCCACTGTGACAACCACAACATAAAACAGCAGGTGACACCCCCAGATAAACAGATGAATCAAAACTAGAGAACAGGTGATAATCAGAACAAACATCCATAAGAAAATTAAGCTCTTTTTTTGTTCCTCAGTTTGAAAAATCTGTTGGCAATCCCAACAGGTCCTACTAAGAAAGGTCAAAATATATTTAGAACAATGAACTAAAACTCACCATTTCCTGAAGCAGATATAAAATAAACAAAGCTACTACGAGAAATGGAGGAAACTGCCCAATTATTCATATCTCTTAAGTATTGATTCCTCTACTAAATGCTTATCACTTATCAAAGTGACAAGTTAGAATTACAGATTTAGAAGAATGGTTCATTATAATCATACATAAAGTTTTAAGAAGTTGAACAATCTATTAGAAATTTTGTTAAGAGGCAAATTAATTGATAAATTAACCTATTAGTTACTCATATATTCATGCTGCTATTAAAGTCTGCAACTTCCAGTTATAAGAAGTAATAAATACCCTCAGTACTTGGGCAGTGGTTACTAGTAGTCTTGGCGGCTAAAACATTTAGAAGAACCCTTGTATATCTTTGTATACAAGTTTGCAGAGAGTTCTAGGATAAGTTTTTCAACAAGGAAACTTTAGATCAAAAGATATGTGTATTAAGTTTTTATAAGTGCCAAAGTACCTCCCCAAAATGCTTAGTCCCAACCCACAATTTATGAGCTAGAGTTTCTTCACCCTGTGTCACTACCTTTTGACATTTGCCTATTTGACTGACAGGGTGAAAGAGATTACATTTTTTAAATTTTTTGTTGTTGTTGTAAATAGTACATTCATATACTTTTTGTCCATTTTTCTTTGACTTATTTTCTTTTTCTTCTTAACCTGTAAGTGGTCTTCAATTTTGAAATCTATTAGACTGGTCATTCATTTGCAAACATTTCCCCAAGTTTTTCATTTCTTTTGATACAGCTTTCAAGGTGACATTAATTTTTTAAATCAGACATTACTTTTTAGAGCAGTTTTTAGGTTCACAGCAAAATGAGCAAAAAGTACCAAGAGCTCCCAGACAGCCACGTACACATACATGTACAATCTCCCTTGCAATGAGTACCTAGCACCGCAAGGGTTCGTTTGTTGCTGTCAAAGAACTGACATTGACACGTCATTATCACCCTAAGCCCATAGTTAACGTGACGGCTCATTCTTGGTATTGTACTTTCTATGGGCTTTGACAAACACACAATAATATATATTCACCATGTAGTATCTTACAAAATAGTTTCACTACCCTAAAATTCCCCTGTGCTCTCTCTATCCATCTCTTCCTCCTCTCTGACCCCTGGATAGCACAGATCTTTTTACCGTGTCTATAGTTTCCCCTTTTCCAGCACGTCATATAGTTGGAATCATAAAGTATGTAGCCTTTAGAAATTGGCTTCTTTCACTTGCAATATGCATTTAAGTTTCCTCCATGTCTCTTCATGACTTGGTAGCTCATTCCTTTTCAGTGCTGAGTAATATTCCATTCTCTGTAAGTACCACTGTTTACTTATCTACTCGCCTACTGAGTGCTTCCAAGTTTTGCCAATTATGAATAAAGCTGCTGTACATGTCCATATGCACGATTCTGTGTGTCCATACATTTTCAGCTCTTTTGGGGAAACACTATGGGGCAAGATTGCTGGCTCATATGGTAAGAGTATGTTTAGTTTTGTAAGAAGCTGCCAGTTAGTCTTCCAGAGGAGCTGTACCATTCTGCATCCCCACCAGCAAGGAATGTGAGGTCCTGTTGCTCCACTTCCTCACAAACATTTGGGCATTGCCAGTGTTTGGATTCTCGCCATTCTAATAGGTGTGTGGTAGTTAACACTTTATATTTTATGTATTCAAATTTGCCAATATTTTCTCTGATGGTTTTATACCTTACATATTTCTCACTTAAGATTATTTTAAGAATTCCTCATTGTCATGTACTGAAAATTATAGTTTCATTTTTTACTTTTAAGTGTTTGCTCCAAATGGAATTCATTTACTTTGAGATGAATTACATGTTTAGTATTTAATATTTTTTTGAAGAGTATTAAAATTAATTTGAATTTCTTGAGCAAAATTAATGGCTAAAAATGTATTAATAAGTTTGAGTAAATTACCCAACCATAAATTAATAGCACACAAGTGCAACAATAAAAAGAGTAATTCTTTCAAAAGGACTTACGGGTCTTAAATTCATTCCTTTGTTTTCATATCACAGAGAAAATCCTGAAAAACTGAAATTACCCACTATTTCATTTTTAGACCAAAAAGGCTTAAAAAGCAAGATTTTAAAAATCTAATTTACTGAGTACAGACCAATCACTTTCACAGACCCTTCAGAAAACTGGGAATCATGCTGGGGTACTCCACCAACCTTTGCCCTACCTAATCACCAAGCAATGCATCTCAAAAGCATGCATTTCTCCCTACATCCAGAAACCAGCCAGAGGATGTCTACTGTGATAGTCAGGAATAGGGCATCCAGAATCTCACATCCTAGGTGCAGACTTCTGTCACTTTTTAGCTCTTTTCCTATGATGTCCACTGCAGTGTTGTATTTTTATTTTTGGTTTTTGTAAACACTGAACCTTTTAAAATTAAGAGTACATTTACTGGGGCACCTGGGTGGCTCAGTGGGTTAAAGCCTCTGCCTTCGGCTCAGGTCGTGATCCCAGGGTCCTGGGATCGAGCCCCGCATCGGGCTCTCTACTCAGTGGGGAGCCTGCTTCCTCCTCTCTCTCTCTCTCTGCCTGCCTCTCCGCCTACTTGTGATCTCTCTCTCTGTGTCAAAAAAAATCTTTAAAAAAAAAAAAATAAAAAAAAAAAAGAGTACATTTACTGCCAGAGGATGGGAATTACACAGAATGCTTATGTTTTCTTGTTTTATCTAACTTTAATTTTTTATAATGACATCTACTTGGTATAGAATTCAAAATGTTGCAGCATAATTTCATCTGTAAAATACTCCTTTCTTTGACATGGAATGGTAGAAATATTAGACAAAGCAAAAAGAAAATGAAAAAAAGAAAGCCATGTTATATGTAGTATGTCAATTCCAGCTCAAAAAATATACATTTTCCTCATGTTTCTTTATTATGTGCTATGCATTTTCAAATTTTCAGCGAACAAGAATTCTATGTATAAGAATAAAGGTGCTTTTCTTTTGTTCTTATTAATAACTTCTACAGGGTTCCCCTTATAATTAGAATGCAGAAGACTAAGAAAAACCCTGGCTCCCAAAATAACCATAAGAAACTAAAACAATTTTATTATTCTTTAGGGTAACCGAAAAGCTATAGGTCTATTTAAGTCTAAGTGAGCTAGTTCGTGGGGGTTGGGGGAGGGTGAGTCTTTCTACGGAAGCAGAGAGGGGACCATCTTCCTCACTGACAGTGCCTGCCAAGTCAGGACACAGACACACAGGACTCGGCTTGTCAAGGGAAAAATAAACTAACATTTTAACAGCCAAGTGCAGGCAAATGGCATTTGAGAAGCCCAAGCCTGGACGCGGCCCTCCTCTTGGTCAGCCAATTCTAACCCACACATCTCGAGCTGAGTATGGGGTAGCACAGGAAATACTGGGAAAGGCTGGAAATCAGTGAGAGATCTGCAGTCTCGTCATACTCACATCTAAAAACCTGCTGAGGTAGGAGGCTACCCCTACCTTCAAGCCTATGGTGATCTGACATTAATTAAAACATCCAATCGGGGCGTCTGGGTGGCTCAGTGGATTAAAGGCTCTGCCCCCAGCTCAGGTCATGATCTCAGGGCCTGGGATCTAGCCCTGCATCAGGCTCTCTGCTCAGCAGAGAGCCCGCTCTCCCCGCGCCCTTGCCTACCTCTCTGCCTGCTTGTGATCTCTGTCAAATAAATAAATAAAATCTTAAAAACAGCAACGAACAACAACAAAAACCATCAAATCATCACCCATCCAGCTCAACTCCTAATCATGTGGAAGAGATCAGTTTCTCAACTTAGCAACCAGAAAGAGAAGAGGGGAAGGCTTTCCAGGGGAGAATATTATCTATATTACTCTCTAGTATTATTTTAGACACAATACCCAGCATGCAATTAAAAAACAAACATGAGACGTGCAAAGTAGTAGGAAAAACTGAACCCTTAATTAAAGAGATAAAAGTCAACAGACGCAGACTACGTATGAAGAAGGTACTGGAATTACCAAAAAGACTTCCAAATGTAAACTGTAAAACTAAAAAACAGATAATCTGAAATGAACTCCCTCAATTGGCTCAACAGCAGACCAAAAGTTACACCCGCATATTCACAAAGGAGCCAAGGTAAATCAATGGAGAAAGAAACGTTTCTTCAACAAGTAGTGCCAAAACAAGTGGACACACATCTGGAAGAACGGAATTAAGAGCAGAAATGGTAAATATGCAGGTCAACACAAAAAGTTAATTTTAACCCTTTAAAATTAAAACAAAACAAACCCCTCAAAGTCTAAAGCAAAAACGAGGTACTTTGGGGTTTATACACACACGTAACGTAAGACAAATGACAAGGACAGCACAGAGGCAGGTGGATGGAATTAGTGTTACAAAATTCTTACACTGCACATGAGGCTGTAAAATACTACAAATTAACAACCTACGAAGGTGATAAAATTGGGATATACGTTGTAATCGTGATAGCACTCACTGAGAGCACTGCTAACTGGTACTGTTAAAAAGTCAAGAGAGTAAACAGAATGGATTCAAACATAAATATATGTGATTAATCTGAGAGAATTCAGGAAAACGAAGAAGAGAGGAACAAAAATCAAATGGGATAAATAGAAAAGAAAACAGTAAAATGGTAACCCAAACCCAATGATACCAACAAAGACACTACATAAAAATAGACTAAATATTCTGATTAAAAGAGACGGACAAAGACATGCAGTGCTGTCCACAAGGAACACATTTCACATATAAAGACAGACTGCAAGTAAATAGCTAAAAGCTACACCACATAGCCACTGAAATAAGTAAAGTTATGGTGATATGAACAGGAGACACACTTTATAACAAGGGTCAGTTCATCCGAAGGGCATCATCATTCTAAGTGCGTGCCAGTGAAGACAGAGACTCAAAACCCATGAAGCAAAAACTGACAGGACCAAAATCAGAGCTGGAGACAGTAACACCGTTCTCCATTACTGAGAGGACAAGTAGAATAAAAATGAGAGGATTAGGAAGATCTAAGCACCACCATCAAACATACCCTAAATGACGAAGTGAACTCTGCAAGTGCAGAACATTCTTTTCAATTATACACAGAATTCTTCTCAATACAAATAAGACATGTTGTGACATAAAATAACTTTCAGTAAATTTCCGAGGACTGACATCATGCATAGTATATTTTGGACCATAATAGAATTCAGTTAGAAATCAATGAAGTATCTAGAAAATTCCCACAATTCTTAAAAAACCAAAGTTTAAAGAGAGTTCAGTTTTGTTCTAAATTGGGGTCCTAAATCTGTTAGAACTTTCTTGCCGTAGCACCGAGAAAGGAATGGACAGTGGAGAGAAGACTGGTAGTCAAAGCAACTCTTAGCATCTCATGAATCAAATACACACAGTATCATTACAAGAAATATTTTACATGTATTGTTTTGAAAAAGTAACAGAATTAGAAATATGAGGTTAGGTTCAAAGCAATCCCCCAAATCCATTTTTAGTTGAGTCCATTTATTCTCTCTTCTCAAATCTGACCCTTTATCATACCCACTGATTACCTCCGAGTTACTGCTCCTCCCCTGTGTCAGCTCTATGATCAAATTGGGCTCTGAGCACTAATGGCCTCGTGGCCTTCTGCGTCCGGCTTCTTTCATCTAATACAGTGCTTCTGAGGTTCATCTATATCATACCATGAATCAGTACATTGCTTTTTCATACAGTTGAGTAATATTTTGACATATGAATAACACCTCATTTAATTTGTCCATTCATCATCTGATGGACAATTGTGTCACTTTCGATTCTGGACTAGGATAGATAATACTTCAGTGAACACTTGTGTTCAAGTTTTGTGTGGACATGTTTTCAATTTTCTTGGGTCTAAACCCAGGAGTGAAACTGCTGGGTCATACTGTTACTCTCTGTTTAACTTCTGAAGAACAACCAACTTTTCCAAAGCAACTCAACTGTTTCTGCATTCCTGACGGCAACACATGAAGACTCCCAACTTGTCCATATCCTCTCCAATGCGTGCCGCTGTCCTTTTCTGATCACAGACATTGTAGTGGGTGTGAAGTCCCCAAGGGAGGTGGGCACTGTGGTTTTGATTTTTTCCCTGAGTGCTAATGATGTCGAGCATCTTTTCCTTGGCATTCACTTTCACATGTCACAGTGGCGGTGGTCCATCAAAAAGGAACATGGTTGGTTCAGGAATACTGATCTTTGGCATATATGTAGGTGTATTTGGAAAGCCAAATACCATTTGCAATAAGACATCTACATTAAGAGGTACATGTTATTTCCAGTGATCATTAGATTATCTATATTTCTGGGTTATCTACTACTCTGAACAGTTACACGTATGATTAGCTAGAACAGAAGCTTCTTTATCTGGGAGTTTAATAACAGAAAGATTTAAACAACAGAATTATCGCAAAAGCCAGTTCCCAGTCCAGCCCCTGCCGCCAATGTTTATTCATTTAAAAATAACTTAGATTATCATAACTACAGAATGCTTTAGTACAAACTGCAGAAAAGCTGACAATGTAATCTGACAGGCTGTGACATTCAGGTGTCCAGTCCTTAGGATCACAGACAGGACGGAACAGAGCAAACCAGACAACGACAAAGACACCGCGGCTACTTCACTGCTAACCTACTTAGTCCTGGTGGATTACACATTTTATCACGGAACAACGGTTTTAAAGCTTTGACATGTGTAATACTCATTACATGCGAAAACTTCTTCTCCACTGTGTCTGTGGAGTGGATAGCTAAAAATGAGAAATTAATTGAATTAGGTCAGGTACAAGGTATTTTGTGTGAACAATCCACTATCAACTCAGAACTCATGATTTAGTTAAAGGAGCACTGAAAATCTGATCCTCATCCCCCAAATTTCTCAGAAAATCTGTTAGTGGGCTCATTTTGGCTTTCCATCACAAAGACATTTATTCATTAGGTAACTAAAACTTTGAACAGAAGCACAGAAGACTTAAACAAGAAACTGTGAGAGTGCTCTCAAATTTTCATTTAATCTAATGAGAGAAAATTATTAACAATTATTCTGCAGAGTAGCATGTGTTAACTTTTTCACTGACAACAAGGCCCTCCTTTGGAAAGTTCAAATACAATGACATCAATACAGAAAGTTCTTTCTGTGATGTATGTCTCAACTTCTCCACACTGAAGAGTCACAAATAATTCTCGTGGGTTTTAAGCAGGGCAAAAAATGTGTATCTCATCACTGAGGAATTCTGAAAAATAGGTTTTACCTGTATCCATACTTTGGTTCAACTGCTGATCGCTTGTCTCTCCATCCTCACTGATATATCCAGGAGGTGGCGTTTCTACAAAAGTTTAGAACAAATAAGCACAGCTACAAATGAAATCTCACCACCTTTCTCCTAGCTACCAAAGATAACCAAAGAATCACTCTGAATAATAAATATGAAAATTATATAACATTATTATAAAACATAGTATTTGGTATTGAGGATGTATGATTCAGGTTCTGATCCAAATCTTACAGGTGAATCCTTAAAGCCTACTTGTAATATAACCAAGCTCTCTAGGCATATTTTCTTAGCTATTATTTACATATCTGGCTCATTCCCATATGTATATTTTCTGGGGCAAGAGCCAAAAATAGAACTTCCAAGATGCCTCAGTTCTGAATCAGTATGCTTCAAAGACATAAAGACATTAGTACCTACTTTTCTTTTCTTTCTTTCTTTTTTTTTAAAAAAACTAATGGCCATCATGGATAGGTACATCTAGGAGATGACTAAAGAACACACAACACACATGAGATTTCAGATTACATGGTAATATGGGCTTACATTAGGTTCTATGGGCAAAATATGGTAATACGTTTCAGGACAGGACAGGCTTAAATTCCACCTAAAAAGTACATTTCTCCATGGATTTCTAACCAGTAAATTGTGAGTGTTTGAGGCCGAAATTTAAATTCAAACACAGACTACTGCACAAACCTGAAGCAAAATACTCCCTGAAAAGAAGAATCTACTGTGCCATTTCCAACACGTTTAATGAACAAAATGTTTATATTCAAGAGGCATGTGAACAGCTGAGTCAGCTTCATATAAAATAACTACATGTATATAATTTTACCAGTTATAATTTCAAGGAAGAAAAGTAAGTTTAAGTGACTATTAATAGTTTAATATTTTCATGGCTGGGCAGTTTGAAGCAATTTGAGGTACTGTAATTACCAAAAGGGAGAGGGAGAAATGTGGGTGAAAGGGCTCATCCACTGAACCCTCACACTCCCCCTTCAATAAGCTAAGTGCACATCTGAACTTAAGCAGAGAACTCTTCATTTAGTGCCAGTACCCCAAGATTGTTACGATGAAATTCTAAGAATAAAATAAAATACCTTCTACACTCAAACAACAAAGAACACAAAAACAAGATCAGTATGTGTCAGTATGTACTATCTTAAAGGTTAAAGCTAACAAAATTAAACAGGGCTACATTTTGTCAGTTTAACCACCCATGTCTTAAAGAGGAAGAAATGCTGAACTTCATTTTAAAATAGTTTATCCTATTTTACTTTTCTCCATTATTATCTTAAAATAATAAATAATAAAGCTATTAAGCATTTTGGAGAAAATACTGAAATTTCTTTTGAAGTGGAACAAAAAGTGAGTCCTTAGCTTTCACTGTCGGCTGGCACCGGGTAAAGCCCCATTGTCCAGAAAAGCAAATAGGTGTGACCAAGCTTTTGATTTTCCACTTTGTAAAATAAACCAAATCTAAACAAATAAAGAAAGGAAAATAAACCCAAACATCTCCACAAGTAAAAGCCACTAGTCACTTTGATTAACATCCTTCCAAATAATTATTGGGGAGGTGTCTTACAAGACTGTATGCTTACACCTCGGTTTCCTGGTATTGTTGAATAATACAAATTCCCACATCAAGGACTAAAATGCACCCCCTACACCATACACACATAACCACCTCCAGCTAAGTCTTCTCCCAAGCAAGGGCCTCTTTCAGTCCTGACCCCACTAGTCTTCATACTCCATCTGCTCTGCACCCTCCTCTCCTAACTTCTCAAAAAGTTTGTTCCCGATCAACCTTAAAAGAAGCCTTAAACTCTCTTTTGGAATAAAATAATAGTTTAAAAAAATGCATATTAAACCAATCAGGAAACACTTTCTACCTTCAAAATAAGCTATTTTTTAAAAATGCTTGCTTTTCTTAGGTTTTTAAATTTGTCTTCAATGAACAAGCATTATTTCCACGAGACACATTAAAGAAATCTTGTTTAAATGTACTTGAAACTAAGTTCCTTACATATTTTCTGTTGCATGCAAAAAAAAAAAAAAAGTCAGAGTGAAGTAGAGAAATATTACAAAAGGAGAAAAAAACTGAGACACTAAAATATACAATGTATAGCTCAATCCTCATCCTAGTATTGTATCTTTAGTTTCTGCTAGGGAAAAACCCAAAAAACAAAAAAGGGAAATACAAATAAAGAAAGTAAGAAAATATTAGTTGTTCTTTTTAAAAAAATAGTGAAAACTAAAACTGCATCAGGGAATATTACCAGATTACATAATATAGTAATTAGAGCCATATATAATACAGTAATTTGAGAACCATGTGGTTAAATTCATTTCTCTTTCAGCAGAGGTTACTGAAGCCCAGACGAAAAAACTAAATTAGAGGAGTTAGGATTTTCAGTACCGCAGTGTTGCTACATCTTAGAAATCAAATATTGTATCTCCTACAGAAATGTTACATTTCTTTCCAACATTATCAAACTATTTATGAAAATGATTATGTCACTTGTTTCAGGAACACTTTTTTCTTCTACCACTTATTTTGCTTACATTCTGTATCTCTCTTAGCTTCAACAACTAAGACAAACTTACTAAGATCTTTTCTTTTCTGCTTCTCACAGTACTTTGATTAAAGCCACTGCAAAAGAAAATGAAATATAACGTAAAACTTTTCTCCAGACAAAAGCGTTTAAAGTACGAGGCTTACACATATCACAAAATCATCAACCCGCAAAGCAGATTTGTCTATTTAAAATTCAGAAGCCTTTTTTTAAAAGGCAAACCACAATTCACGAATACTTGAATATTTAGGAACAACATTTGTATCTATCCCACTTTCTAGGAGATTCGGAAGGCAAAAATACCTGGGATGTAATTACTCTGTGGCTCAATTCCCGCTGGGAAATTAGTGTTTTCTGGAATGGAGTGGGTATAATCGTCCAGAGGAGGCAGCTCTGTTAGGATCTCAGTGTGCCGCGGCACCAGTACGGGAGGCAGAACTGGAAGAGGCAGAGGGATCCAGGTTAACAGCAAGGAAGAAAGGATTGGCGCTGGGGGAGGGGCACACACCAGACCTTCTTTGAAAAACTTCACACACATACAAAAAAAAGAGAGTGGCCTGCTTAATTTTTAAAATTTAGGGTTCACCAATTTGGCATTATACTAGCTGAGAAACTGACAAATCTGATTGGTTTTAACTTGCCATGTAGTCCAGAATCTAAATTTCCAAGTTCCAATTATTCTGTACTTTGAGGAACAAGGGCATTCTGGTAATACTATATTACCGTAACAGTTCATAAATTCCCATTGGAAAAGGTGCAGAAAGATCTGTGAAGTCAGATTTAGGCCATTTCTAAAAATACAGCTGTATTCGCTTTAAAAGTTTCAAGTACACAGCGAAGTAAACTAAAAGTCTTGCTATGAACTTCACTAATCTGCTTAGATGTAATCCATGCCACTAAAGGACTTCAAAAGATGCTCAAAGAACAAAACGACTGAACACAGCTCAGGCAGCAGACAAGTAAAGAGGTCTATCAGTTTAGTTCCAAGCAGTCTATGAATGTGGGGATTACGATTTCCCAGATCTGTAACTCTGAGGTCAAATAGCATGCTTCTCCCAAGAAACTGACATATCCGACCCTCTAAGGGTTTATTTTTCCCTATTTAAAACATTTTAAAAGTCCTTTTAATTAGTAGCAAATAATGCACTGTATTTGAGGTAATTTATCAGAATTTTACACCCAAGTTTCCCAGGGGCAATTACCTAGGAGTACCTAACATACTTAAGTTCAAGTATTTAATTTAAAACAAGGAAAGAAAGCCCCGATTTTTCTACCTGGTGTCTCAACTCTCTGGTAGTGGTAAGGGTTTACACATACTTCATCCTTTTTAAGATTAAAAGCATATTCGCAGTTTTCGATTGCTTTGAGCTCATGGTGACTGTGAAGGTCAGGCCAGCGCCACAATCGGCAATATATCACATGTGGCAGTCCTTTCCGATGGGACACTTGTAGACGGCCATCCAGAGACCTGTTGAGAAGCAAGGGGAGAGAAAGGTGGGAACTTTAAAAACAAAACAGGCATAGTCGATTGGGCTAAATTCATACAGTAAGAGCATAAAGAAAGGAATGACAGACATTCAGTTAGTTTTAGTGAGTACAAGGAAGAAAAATGTACTGTTTAATGGGTCTGCTATAAAAGTAAACAGCAGCACTAGCAGGTGTTTCTCATAAATATGCTACATAAATGACTCGATGTCAGTGAGTGGCTAACCACTTGGGAAGAAACTGAGTTTTAAAAAAGGACCATCTAGTATACTTGAAAAATTTTTGCCAACTTCCATCTTGAGTAAATCGAACTCTTAATTAGGGATGCTTTGGAGGGCATTAATACTGTAGGTGACTGAATTATCAAAAAAAGGAACTAGTGTGAAAAATGGTAAGTACCAACAATGATGTAAAGTAACTTACTCAAACTAATGTAGCTCATTACCCAGTTGTGACTGTTCTGAGTACCGAGGTGTAGTTCTAGAGCTCACACAGTAATGCAGATGGTGATGAAATACAATGAGATGAAATGGACAAATGCCAATATGTTCCAAAAGAGAATAAGGTGATTTAAAAAAAAAAAATAGAGAGAACATAAAATGAGTTAGCCTAGCGTTAACTGTGATATAAGAGGGTTGGTAAATAACTATGTATTTATTAGTATAAAGAAGATGAGATTTAGATGATAGCAAGAAATTTAGCAAAAGCTGGTTATAGATCTACTTGAAAATTAGGCCAACAACAGATTATAATCTAATCTCAAACTCAAATGAGAATATAGGTATCAAAGTTCCTATTCTTTAGGGGATGCAATAATTTAAAGAAGGTTCAAAACTAAAATTTCATTGATCAAAACATCAGCTGACACATTTAATATATCGTTAATACTGGCAAGCAGGTATTTTAAATGCCATGCCTTATTTACATTAAGGAAACATCCTAGGCAAAATGATACTGAGCAACCCATAACAGGTTTTCCAAAACAGCCCCCCGCCCCAAGTTTGCTAGGATTCCATAGAGGGCAGAATATTCACCTGGTTTGTTCAGAGAAGCTGTAAAGGCCTGTTGTATCCCACTGATCTATCGTATTTGGTGTACTCAGTCCCCAAATTTCAGAGCAAGTGCTGTGCATAAATTGAAAAACAAAAAATTGATGTGAACATGGAAGCATGGTTATTCAAAATACCATGATGTAAAACATGGAAAATGTACAGAATACTTCCTTCACCCAGAAAATATATGTCGCTTCACTTTTTCACGGGCTTTTCGCGCTGGTTTCTATATTTTCCATATGAAGGAAGCCAATAAAATGGAACATGTGACTCCAGGTAAGTTATGATTATGTTTTAAAAATGTGAACACCAATGCTCTCTAGCTTCATGAAATCATACCTATAATGCCCTTTCCAATTTCTTCTACTCACGACAAAGGACTAATACCTATGCCATTAGCCTAAGAGTGATTCATTTTATAATCTAGTTTTTTAAAAAACTTATCTAAAAATGGATGTCAACTGGTCTTTTCAATACAGGAAAAATTTCACTTAAGTTAGATACATACCCGCAGTTAAGATTTTCACATTATTTTTTTGAGATACTTTTTTATTCAGTTTTGCAAATACTACATAGAAGGAAGTGCCTTCTGAAGTCACTCAAACATAGCCTAACACCTTAAAAGCTTTAATTGCTGTGGGGACTAAAGATATGTGAAAGCACCAAATTCTTGAAAGACGATAGGAGTATATGAAAAATCAGCTAGGTCTAGTTTTCAAAAATCAATACACCTACAGGACAGAGACCAGGAAGACCTCAAGCTTTTTCTTCCACATCTCATTCCAGAGCATGGGCAGCCCAGAGAAAATTCTCCCTGCTTCCCCGCCATGACTTTATTTCACAGTCACTTCTCATTATGGGGAAAGGGAAGAAGGGCTTCAAAGGCCATCTGGACTTCTGCCTGTCGACGGGTCTCAGGTCCTAAGTTGTGCTTCTTATAGTTAGAGTCAAAAGGTAATTTCTGAAACAAACTCAAACTCCATGTCTCACATATTACAGAATCACCAAAATTTCAAAGAGGAAGAAGAACCATTTCAAAACAATTTTTAGAAATAAAAATCAAATAATGTATTAACTGCTTAAACAAGGTAATGTACACATTGCTAATGAGCTAACTGAGACAACATTTCAAAGGACACTGGTGGCAAGCGCTGTCTTCCTGTGGCCTGGCAACACGCCTCGCAGGGGCTGCAGGGCTGCCGGGTCTCTTGCAGAGCCCGCAGAGCCGCTGGACCACAAACACATTTCATGCCATGCCCTGGGGGCTACAGCAGCCACACTGGACGGTTTTTACAAATGCATTTGCAGACACTACCCAGCACCCTTTTAAGGTATTTTACAGATTCTCTTGCTTTTTAAGCTGTAGAAATCTTTCAATTCCCAAACAACCGAAGTTGGAAAAAGTCAGGAAACTGGAGGATAATGTAAACTTTTTCTTTTTTCTCCAAAGATGTACTGTAAAAAACCCATGACATAGTGTTATTTATTTATTTTTTTTTAAGATTTAATTTATTCATCTGGCAGAGAGAGAGAGACAGAGCATGAGCAGGGGGAGCAGCAGGCAAAGGGAGAGGGAAAGCAGGCCCACCACTTCAGGGAGGGAGAAGCAGGGAGCTTGATGTGGTACTTGACTCCAGGGTCCTGGGATCATGACCTGAGCCAAAGGCAGACGCTTAACCGACTGAGCCACCCAGGCGCCCCACTTGGTTCTTTTATTTAAGATATTTATCAAATACCTACCTTAGAAAACACAGAGCACCAAGTTGTCTAAATCACAATAAAATCAACTACATTCTAGAGTGTTATCTGAATTTAAACCTCATAAGGGAAAGTATACAGCTTACTCTTCATCCTTGAAATGATTAACAAAAGATTAGATTAGAAGCTATTCTGCTCTTATGAGAGTTTAATGAAGATTTCACCCAAGTGTTTCTGACACAGACACAGAACCAGAATCTAAAAGAGAGCGCAAAGAGCTTAACCTGGGCTTGAATCAAGCCCTGAAATAAATCAGAAAATAATAAACAGTCGTTGTTCAGAACATGCAGTCAATTTGGAGGCAGGCCGACCTAGATCACTGCACCCCCCCCCCCAACTCAGCCACATTCCAACTTCCAACATAGGGTATAGATAAGCCTTAGTCCTACTGTTTACTGTAACATCGCTAATTAGAAGGTTTACTTCAAAATATTAAATTTGCTTCTAGCTAGTAAAATTTTTGCTTGTTTATATAAGAAAAACTTCTTTTTAAAGAATCAATTTATAACAAAACACACAAAGCATCTGGAATAAAAGTAAGTATAAATGTGTCAAAACTACACAAAGAAACATTTTAATTATTACTAAAGGACATAAAGGCAAAGTAACCAAAGAGAAAAGCATCTATCTTCCTATTCAGGAAGATATCATAGTGATGTCAATTCCGCCAAAGTAAAATCTCAGACAAAATTACTCCAAATATAACATACCAAAATAAGTAAGAATGACCAGGAAAACTTCAACAAAGAAGAGTAGAGAATGGCCCTACCAAATTCTGAAACACGTTACAAATTCTCAGTAGAAACAGTATGTAGTTAGCAAGAGGACACAAACAAAACAGAGGTCCTACCTGTAGGGCAGCCTCAATTAAGCAAAACCTTCCTTCAGGTAAAAATGACAGCCCCTGAACAAGATATAATAAAATCAACCACGTGAAAACAGTGGAGAGAGACCAAAAGGACAAAAGTCAAAAGGAAGTCAACCTTTGTAAGGGGGAAACTCTACTGGATGAGCTGCATTTAGGTAGCTTTGTATCTAAGGACAGCGCACAGTGTGAGCTAGGCAGGACATCTAGACCTTAAGCAGAGAACGAACCGCAATTTTACCTACGGGCACAAACAATCAGAGAATGGATGTGGGGCTGCAAGAACGGCTGGAAAAAGAAGGGGGAAAATCTGGTAAAGAAGGAATCACAGGGGGATAAATAGCAAAATACGAGTATGAACTCTGTCCAAATCCTTGGCTGACCTCTCAACTACAAATGTGGGAGAGACATACCTCCTGCTGAAAACTAGCACCAGGGCATCTAAAAGAACAAAGTCCTGAAATCCCAGCTATTGCTTACATCAGAGGCAAACCAGAGTTTGAGGCCAACCGAAACTAACTGCTGGAAAAAAAATCAACTCTTCAGAGGAAGATAACAGAATTTAGAGTCTCTATAATATTTCATCCCAAATATCCAGTACAAAAGCACGAATTACTAAACATATCAAGAAACAGGAAAATGTTAGCTCCTAGTCAACAGAAAGAACGGCCAGTAGAAACAAATCCCCCAAATGAACCAACAGACAAGGATTATGAAGTAACTACTGTAAATATGCACATGGACTTAATGAACGGATAGCAATCTCAGCTGATTAATGGAAACTATAAAAATGAATCAAATGTAAATTATAGAACTGAAAATTATAAAATCAGAAATTAAAAAGTTAACCTAATGGTTGGGGAAGACAGAAAAGTCAGTCTGAAGATGAGTCAAGAGAAATCACCTAAACAGAGGAAACAAAGTGAAAAAGAGTGAATAACAAAATGAACAATCTCAGTAACAATAATGTGCAGCTGGAGAGGAAGCAAGAACATACCAGAACAAATGTCTGAAATAGTAATGTCTGAAACATTGTCAACCTCAGCTGAAACTAAACTCATACTTCAAAGAAACTCAGTTAATACCAAGCAGTTTAAATACAAAGAAAATCACACTTGGGCACATCATTGTAAAAACAGTAAAGACAAAAGGTGAAAAGAAAATCTTCAAAGTGGGGAGAACTACAAAAACTCTTGGCACGAAGGACTCCATCTAAACCCCTGCACTAAGAGACTTGAATAAGCTCTAGCATGGCTTCTTGGAGCCTAAGGTCAAGTCCCCGTTAGGATCCAGACCCTTCTGAGTTCCTGTGGGGAGTGGGGGAGAGGTCAACATGGCCCAAAGAATTTACCATTTATTCCTGCCAACACCTGTCAATATAGACCCCTGACCTCCTTTTCTCAGAGCATTTATTTTAAAAACTTGTACTTGGAAATCCTTCTCCAGTCTCTTTAAAATGTACTCTGTGTCTCCTACAGCTCAAGAGTCTTTCTCAAGAACCTGAAATCCAGGGGCGCCTGGGTGGCTCAGTGGGTTAAGTATCTGCCTTCGGCTTGGGTCATGATCTCAGGGTCCTGGGATCGAGCCCCGCATCGGGCTCTCTGCTCAGCGGGGAGCCTGCTTCCCCCTCTATCTCTGCTTGCTGCTCTGCCTACTTATGACCCCTCTCTCTGTGTCAAATAAATAAAATCTTTTAAAAAAAAAAAAAAAGAACCTGAAATCTATTCCTTTGAAATGTAATCAGTCATCAGAAAGGTCAGATCTGTCTCCCAGACTGCCCTCAGAGGGAGGGTAGAGGCCTAACTTGGAGAAATGCCATTTAGCAGACACATATGGCCTAATCACACTGATACTGACCCACCCTCTTCCCCCCCCCCCTTTTTTTTTGCTAATTTTTCACTTCCCTGACTCTGCTCAAGCCTCTATTCATTCCCCCAGCTCCACCCTCACCTTCTCCCAGTCACCTCTATGCAAACTGAAATTGAGCTCAGCTCTTCTACCACTGTGATTACTGAATAAAGTCTGTTTTTACCAACTTTATTTTATTTTTTTTAAGATTTTATTTATTTGATAGACAGAGATTACAAGTAGTCAGAGAGGCAGGCAGAGAGAGAGAGGAGGAAGCAGGTTCCCTGCTGAGCAGAAAGCCTGATGCAGGGCTCCATCCCAGGACCCTGAGACCATGACCTGAGCTGAAAGCAGAGGCTTTAACCCGCTGAGCCACCCAGGTGCCCCTGTTTTTACCAACTTTAATCAATGTCTGGCTTTAACTTTCACAGTAGCAAGATAGAACAATCCACATATGTAGAGGAATGAACACATGAGCAACAATTTCTCATCAGAAATAGTACAAGCCAGAAGACAATGGAACACCTTTAAAGAGCTGAAGGGGGGGGGGGGAACTCAAACTAAAATCTATATCCAACAGAAATATCCTTCATATAAGAAG